ATGACTTTTTACTATATTTTTTTTTTCTCTTATTACAGTTTTATATGTAGTTGTAAATCCCAAATTTGATAAAGTGTCTATAGTTGATGCTGAAGTACCTGAGCTAGACAAATATAAACCAATTTTTTTTTTTGCAGAAGTTACCTGTTTATTTCTTAAACCTGCCATTTGATAACAAAGTATCATTACCTTTTTTTTTAAATTGTATAATGTTGTTGAATTTTTTGAAACAGGATTCATACTTTGATAAAGCATCTCAAAAAAACCAATTAATTCAGGATCTCTTGTTTCAATCATTTTGATAAATTCATCAGGATCATTTATAGGCTCATTATTTTCATGATGTTGATAGTTATCAAGAACAGTTGTTAATCTTTTGATTTTGTCATTGAAAATACTTGAAAAATTAACTGCATCTAAAGATGTATAAATAAAGTTATTAATTTTCGGAACACTTGTTTTTGTTAATTGCGCAAAAATGTACATAATAAACATATATGAAATTTATATCATTTGCGGTTTAGGTTCTTGTAAATATCTATGCAAAATCCCATGCATCTAGGTTCCGTAGAACTCGAATAAATATATAAAAATGAAATTCGATTAAAAAAATTTTCTTTGATGATCACTAAATTTCTGATGCGAAATATTTTATTTTATTACCCAAATTCTATGTAATAATTTTAATTTAAAATTTTAACTACTTTTAATATTTAGTTGGGTATCCTTTGCTCTTTATACAAGCCTGAATTCTTCTAGGCATGCTTTCAATCAAATTCATTAAAACATTTTGAGGAAATTTATTCCATTCCTCTTTTAAAAGCAGCCTCAAGTTCTTTAAGATTTCTTAGATTGTTAGGACGACTTCTAATATGATATACTGTTATGGTGGGAAGCCAAGTGTTTTAGAAATAATTCTATATGAGGCTCCACTTTATAAAGGCCAACTATTTGTCCATGTTGAGCTTCAGTTAAATTAGACTTTTTTTTTTTGAAATTTAAAATTTTGAAAACTTTTTAGATCTTTTTTTAAAAAAAAAGATCTTAATTCGTGGTCCGCCGATCAACGATAGATTTTTAATATGTAGATCCGGGATATTAAACATATTAAAAATTGGTTGATGATCAAAACCAAAACTACCCATTTTTATTTTAAAAAA